AAATGCAAAAAAGAGGTTAGGAGGGAGCCAGCCTGGGCAGGTTCAGTAGGAACACTACTTCGTCCATCTTGAGACCGGTGGCTTTAATGACTTCAGAGGGTCGATACGAACTTCTCTTCATTCTAAGGATTTCTTTTTGTAGATTACATGTTTCATAGAGATGAACATAATAATCGAAAAACTGAATTAACCAACCTAATACTAAAATGAATGATTTGGTTTTTAATTTTTTATTAAACCGTGGAATCTGTTGGTTTTGAATTTTATGGATAACCAAACCGACATTAACCGAACCTTCTCACAAAAATTAAAACTTACAATATTAAACTTTAAAATAGACGTAATCAATTGGATTACCTAGATGTCTAAATAATTAGATGTAGACTTTATTTGGTTGAGCCCATCACGATTATTTGTCGCGGTTTTTACCTTTTAAAATAGTTTATGCTTATAGAGTGGAAATTATTTTTAATTATTCTACAACATTTTGCTACGTAGTTAAGCAATACACAATACAAACAACTTGAGACAAAACTACCTCTTAACATGTGTTTCACAGTTATGTTTTGCGGCTATAATTCGTTATTGATGGGTGCAACTTTGTTGCCTTGTATCCTTGTTTCACATTTGGTTGAATCGTTATTTTTTTATAGTGATATATTTTGTTTTCAAAATTTTATACCAATGCATGTTATATTTTTTATAAGACTTATTTACTTTTGGTTAACCAATATTAACCGAGAACACATGGTAGAATCATTATTTTTTTATAACGTTATTATTATTATTTTTTCTAAGATTTATTTACTTTCTTTCGACTCAAGAACCAGAGACATATAAAAAAATATTACACTTCCTTTATCTCACCTCTAATCTGGTAAAAAAAATCGCTATTTTTGAGCTAAATAACAAACACAAGTGAATTTGAGCATCAGATTATGCACGAGTAAAACCGGGTTTTCTCTTTTTGTTTTTAATTATTGGACTTTTAACAATGGGCCTGAGTCATCGACTTATATGAGATATGATGTTGTGAACTCTGATTTTTTTAAATATTATTTGTGTTATATTAAAGCAATAATTATAAATAAATAAAAAAGTGAGTTACAATTAACGTCGCTAACCTAACAAGAAAAAATCTAGCTTTTTTAACATGGCTTTGAATTATAATAACAAACTTTTTATTTATTTTTTTTAAATTAATTACAATAATGTTTACATAATCCAAAATGACATTGAATGTTTTCTAAATTTAACATTTTTTTTATTATTGTTTTGATTACAATACGTACGCTATACGACATGTCCAAAAGTACAATAGCAATTAAAAGAAAATAAAAATAAAAAAAGGAGTGATGTTTTTGGTATTAAAATTACTGTGATCTAATTTATATAAAAAAGAAACAATAAACACTATAAAAACAAAATTCAAAAATTAAAGAACTTCAAGAGCTATAAAAGAAGCTTCATTTTTAAAAAAACATCTCATCAAAACTGATAAAAAAAATCATAGTAATAAATTATAATAAACAACAAATTCAACCATCTCAAAAATGGCAAAAAGATGTTATTTTGTAAACAACTAACGACTCGATTATAATTAATACCTCTATCAACTCAAGATTCAAGAATATAACATTTATCAACAAACTATCAATAAAAAAAAAAGAAAAAAAAAAAAAGAAAGTAGAGTAAGTTATAAATACCAGTTGAAGAAGATCACTAGTTAGCTTTCCCACATTTGTATATACAACAGAATCGAGTTTTTTTTTTTTTTTATCTGCTTTCAAACAAGCAAATCTTCTCAAGTTCAATCCCCCAATCTTCTCCAAGAATCTTGGGATTTGACTCTGTCAGCACACGAAGATCCACCATTGATGATGAAAATGGAAACAATCTTTCTTGATTCTTTAAAGATCTTGATCTACCTAACTCCAAACATGGCTTTATAACCCTTTTCAGGAAAGAATCTAACCCGTTGTTGACTAAGTTGACACAATCCATGGTAATATCAAGACCTTCTGTTTTCAATTTGTGTTTCAATCTGGTAGATAAAGAAGAAGTAGGTGGTAATTGAGAGTTGTAATGACAAGTGTGAAAAGGTGAAGAAATGGAAAGAACTTTTTTTGAGTCTTTTGAGTGGATTTTGATTCCAAATGGAGCTTTAACAGGGCTTCTACTATGGATTCCAGGACTTATTGAAATCTGTTCAACTTCTTCACCATCTTCAACTGAGTTTACTTCAATAGGTGGTTTGCTACCTAAAGAAAAAAGCTCTGTAGCACTTTGTTGTTGACTTAGGAGGTGATCTTTAACCTTTCTTTCATTAGCAAATCGTGAAGAAGGTTGACTAAGGGTGTTGTTGGGGTTGACTTTCTTTGGAGGTGTTTTGGAAAGAGTTGCGTTTTTGAGAAGTGATTTGATGAGTTCATTGTGGAGGCGAAGATTTTCTTTACCTATTAAACTGATACAAAGCTTGTCGAATTCTGGTTTTCTGAGCTTTTGACTTAAGTATCTGGTGAGAAGATTGAAATACTTTTGAGCTTTTTGTGATCCGAGTCTTCTTTCCATGTGAAGTTTCAGCTCAAAAGTGTCAATTCTGGAACAATGCCGAACTGCTGGCATTTTTTGTTGGATGATAATATCCAAAACAAGTCACAGCCAACATCACCGAAGATCCACCCAACATTCCAAAAAAAGGAACCCTAACTTTTCGCTTTTGACTTCATTAAGTACGGATGAGAATGTTAAGTATTGATTTCTGCGTTAACAGATGAAACTTACACAGAATTAGCTCAAACAGAATCTCCGAATCTCGAATTACCTAATTCGAATCAAAAGTAATCATTCATCCGCGTAAATCACGCTACAAATGACCTAAAATAAGAAAAATAATTCAATTACTTGAACTTCAACTAACGACTAATCACCGACAAAATCAAACAGTTAACGATCACAACGAAACATACAAATTCGACAAATCGAACAGTGAAACGAAGCTAAAGAACGTGTGTAAGGAAAATCGAATAAAAAACAGTAAGCTGACCTGAACAATTGAATTGGTGAGTTGAATTTCACAGAGGTTGAATTCGATCTGAGGGGATCGATTGATTGATTGATCGATCGAGTTGAATAGTTGACGATGAGAGAAATTAGGGCTCGTAAAAGTGTGAAGTTGGGGTTTTTCAATCAAGAGTCAAAGACACGTGCGCCTTTTTGACAAGTGAGTGACAGTTGTGTGTGATTGGCTGCTTTTAAGTGAGACTCAATCATATGAAGTCAGCGGGTCGGGTCGGGTTGTATTTGAAGCCGATATCAATTATGGTTTGACTATACTATAAAATATCTTGTCTACAAAAGGAAAGCTATTCTCTTGTTTGTTATTTCCTTTTTCAAAAATGTATGTTCTTTGTTATTTTCTAATTGAAAAATGCAACTTATATTAATATAAGAAAAATGTAGTGGAAAGATGAAGAATATTTATACTTAGGCTTGGATGCGGTTTGGCTCCGACCCTTACCACACTATTAGGGGAATACTGTTCCCTCAGTGGTTTTTGGGTTTTACCGTATAACTGCAGAAATCTTTCTCTCTCTCTCTCTCTCTATATATATATATATATATATATATATATATATATATATATATATATATATATGTTGCAAAGTATGGTAAAATTGATATGTCATCTATATGACATAGTAGGGAGTGTGATTCTTGTAGCACCACTCCCTCCAATCTTATGTGGCCTTAATTATGTTTGGTTTACCATACTCAACAACCTTAACCTTGTCTCAAGCGTGCATAGGCTAGGAAACCCACAATTGAGAGAGAGAGAGAGAGAGAGAGAGAGAGAGAGAGAGATGTGGAACCTAAAGAATATGTTTTCTTTCAATTACCTATTTTCCTAACGTATGAATTAGCAAAGGACATGCTAATATTTTGAAAATGCATCCTCAAATTTTATAATGGTGCTCCTAACTCGTGAATTAAAATTCGACCCAACCATAGAGATTGAAAATTCTCAAGCTTATGATAAAAAATATCACATTTTTTAAATACGAATTATCTTCCATATTGAATCTCCACCACTATTAAGCAATAAAGGAAACAAAGACGCATACTTAATTACCACCTTGTAACTTCGATCCAAATACCAAATTCTACACAAACCAAGCAAAGTTTTCTGAATCATCGGATGAACATCCCCCCTACCCCACCAAAGGTAGCTACTTCTCAAACCCTTCGATGATCTAATGACTTCTTTTAGGTTCTTAAACACGGTGAAATAGAAAAAGAGGGAGGTTTCCGATAATGTTAAAGGGTTGTTGTATTATTAATGTATTTTAATCACAATATATATCTAGAGAAGACAATGGAACCCACTTGGTTTTTCAAGGGTTTCAACTTCCATTATTGTTTGATGGATGAAGCATAGTATGATTTAATGTCGAGGTAGAAAGTATATATAGTTCATTAATTAACATTTAGATTGCTCAAGATCTTCATGTTTTATATTTTATATTGGTATATCAAAATTCCATCATGCAACTAATGATATTTCCATTAGGCTTTCATCATGTTTATACATATATATGTAGTGTATGTGTATATACTACTTACTACAAAATTAATATATAAGATGGTATGCTAATTAAGTAATTATATAATACATAGAGTGGAACTAATAACTATTCTTAATTGTCTTCATTCACACAGCACAACCGATGTTAACATGGCTGCTAATATAGATATAGAATATACTAATATTAACATATGTCTACATAAAGAAAGAGAGATTCCATTCTTTGGTTTACTCATGCACATATACATGAAAGGGAAGATTAAGACATAATATCAGATATATGATCATTAGACATGTTAATTATTAGCCTAAAAACAGTAACCAACACCTTCTTGAATCAACAACCTACCAACTACACTTAAATCTACTCGCCAAAATGAAATTAAAGAAGATTATAAGTCATTTTAAAATCAAATTAAGTTGGTACCCAAGCAGTTGTAAAAACCACATTATGTCCTTTCCATGTAAGAACAAGATCATCTTCTTCCTTCTTCAACCCCCATCCAGCTGCATGTTCATCCAGCATCCCTTTCACTTCTGTTACGATATCTTCTCCAAATCCAACCCCTCGAAACCCTGTGTTTCTCATTCTCTGAACCCATCTTGCTCGTGGCTCAAGTCGCTCAACTCTATGTAACCCTTCATGGGCTATAACATTCTCGATCTTCCAACCAATATCAGCCTCGTACCACTGTCGTTGTTTGCTTCCTTTTGGTAAAAAAGTGTCGACTATGTCGTATGGGATCCATAAGTAGTTAAAAGCTGACCTTAATCGGCAAACCAAGTTATTTGAAGTGAAATCAGCGTCTTCGTCTGCTAAAACTACGAGGGTTGGATTCAGACTTCGGATTTGTTTCAAGAATAAAGCTCGTGGGGTTGCGTCTTCGAAAGAAAAGGGTGTCGTCGACGTCGTTGCTGTTGGGGTTTCTTCGGGTATGTAATGAAGCATCATGTGACAGTTTATTACGAGTGCTTCGTTAGTCTCGTTTCCATGTACTAGGTTTTGAAGCTTCAGATGTTCGATTAACGAAGAGAATCCATCCGAAGAACTCGAAGGAATTACATTGAAATCCAAGATTATGTTTCTTGAACGAGCAAAGTTTACTAACTTAATCCCAAGCTCATCGTATGACAGATCCAGCATCGGAGGGACATCCTCGGTGGCGCCAGCTATCGTGAGCTTCACGACAGGTGGACCTTCTAATTTCCCAGCCATGGCGTCAATCAAAGTAGGGATTTGCATGCAATGTGTCAGACTCAAATCGACGATGTGAACAGTCGAGTAACCCTCCACTGCTTCAAGAATGGCGGCGTTGGCAGCTGTGAAACCAAACCGATGCCACGGCGTCAAGTCAACAAAGCTCGCAAGCTCAATAATGGAAAACTTATGAGTCTGGATGGTGATATTGGAATTCGAGAGGGCAGCAGTAAGCATCTTACAGGTTCCGGTTTTGGCAGCTCGAGCAATCAAGGCTCGTAGGAAGCCACATGTGAGTCTTTGATTGGAATCCCCATCGGAAGGTGCGATGTTGTTAAGAACCCACAAGATTTGTTGAGAGAGAGTAGCATCATTGCTTTCGATTGCATTAGCACAACGAACAAGCAACTGCTCCATGCAGTTGGCATCCCCGAAGGTTCCAAGCGCCTTATTAGGCGCTGGAAATCCTGGCCAGGGTCGCGTACGATGGATTTGGTTTGGGTTCATAGGAGTGAAGTTTTGGCATGGTTTAGAGGAGAGATGGAGTGGTGGAGCTGGAAGAGTTTCAGTGAACTGCATCAGGAGGGGAAGAGAGAAACAAAGGGAGAGAAAGAGAGAGAAAGAAGGATGGCGACCAGACTAGAAAGTGGTACCTCTGAGTTCTGGGGATATCGGGATATGAAACAAGATTTGTAGAGAGAAATCTGGGTAAAAATCTAAGTAAAAAAGACGGATCATCATAGTATTACCTAAAGAATGATAAAAAAGGTATGATGGTTTAAGGGCAAAACAGCTTTAGTTATTCCGAAAAGGATGTAACACAAGTAGACTTTTGGAGAGGGGAGACTACAATGAGGGTTTAGAAGCACAGGAGCAGAAGGTGATTTTGTGTCTGATTTGATGAAATTGTGTCATATAAAGGGGTGGTGGGGGTGGGAGGTAGTGGTGGAATTTGGTAGCATGTGAGGGTGGCCGGCCATGAGTTGGATGTATGTGGGAGTTGTGATTTTGTCATTTAATGTGTAATTAGATGGATGTGTTTGTGTAGATTTATAGATAGATCGAGTGTAAGGAAATACACATCTGCTCATCTTCTTCCTCTTCATGGGACCATTTTCTATTAAATGTTTATATATATATATATATATATATATATATATATATATATATATATATATATATATATATATATATATATATATATATATATATAAAGGTTGTAAGAAATCGCTATACGGTGAACGGGATTGGGATTAAGGATTAATTGGTCTGAATGAAGATTAATCGGCACCTACGTAGTGATCTTTAATTGTAATAAATTTTATTTTTTAAAATTAAATATTACTTATATTGTTAAAAAATAAGTAAATAATCATAAAACTATAGCATATTCAATCGTCCAAATATGTAAATTACCGTATATAATAATTTTTAAACTAATTAAGGATATTTTTAACGGTTTTAGTTATCAATCATTATAATTTAGTCACCCAATATCATAAATTTCATTATTCGAATATTTTTTTTTTGAAAAGTTTTATTATCTGTCTTTTTTTACAGTCTTAGACCATCCAGACCACCTAGGACTAACTACAATCAACAACAAAAAACCTTAACCTTTAGCGACGACAAAAGATGTTGCAATCAATGCACCTGGTCATCTCTAATACCTTTAGTAACGATATGTCATTGCTAAAGGGTCATCGTTATTATCTCGTAGCTAATACTCGTTTGTTGTCGTTAAATATCTCTGTCGTCGTTATTGGCATCGTCTCTATTGATATTCCAGCCAACTATAGGAGTTTTTCCGACTACTCATTCGAGAAGCAATATTCATCACAATTTGTCAATGTCATCCCTAAATGTGTTGCTACTAATGTGTTTTTTTGTTTCTTTTTTTTTTTTTTTTTTTTTTTTTAATAATTTATTTATGTATTAGTTTATATATACTATAAAATGTAGATTGGATAAAAATACATAAATAAATATATACCAGAGTACATAAACTATCTAATAAATCCAAAATAAACATCAAATATATCATACATAAACTATCTAATAAATCCAAAATAACATCATCCATAACAGAAAAATAAGAAATACTATGTGTCTTCGTCTTCCTCATTGTTGTTTTCTTCGTTGTTAACTTAGTTCTTAAACGAGCAAATAATATCTCCAATTGTCGTCACAAACGCGGAGTTTTGAAGAAAATCATTCACATCAACATCCTACAATTAAGTCACAAACACATTAAGTCATTAATAATTTAACAAATTATCAAACTATCAAACCACCAAATGAATTAAGTTCTTAATAATTTAACAAACTACTAAACCATCAAATCAATTAAGACTTTAACAATTTCACAAACTACCAAACTACCAAAAATTACTATAAATGCATCTAGGTATGAGCATCGGAACCGGGTATCCGCTTTTGGAACCGAAACCGCCTCCGAACTACCGGTTTTGGAACTGGAACCGCCCTTAGCAGTTCCGGTTCCGGTTCCTAAAGTTATCGAACCGCCTTAAGCGGTTCCGGTTCTTGTTTTTTTGGAACCGCTATCCATTGGGTACCCGCTGAAACCGGTTTATATATATATATATATATATATATATATATATATATATATATATATATATATATATATATATATATATATATATAATTTCATATAAATATGTGTGTTACTTAGACCGATTTAGAATATATACTGATCTGATTTTGTTCGTCTTTGGTCCGAATTGACTTGATTTGGATCAAACTAAATTGTGGTTTTATCAACAAAAGTTAACAAAATTAATGTAATCGGTTTATCCGCTCCCGGAACCAGAACCGCCGGTTCCGGGACTGGTTCCAAACATTTGATAATTGTCTAGAGCGGTTCTGGTTCTAACTTTCTAGGAACTGCCGGTTCCGGTTTCGGTTCTCGCTAAATGAGGTGGGTACCCGCTCATCCCTAAATGCATCGAGTTCTTTACAATATAGCAAAGTTACCAAATTCTTTAAAAATTTAACAAGTACTTGTGTTAGTTGCGGTACTTGTGACTGTGACTGCCATTAGGATGAAGCACTTGTACCCGCTGCAGAACAAGGTTTAGGCCTAATACCTCCTACATGCCCCCTTCAAGAACCCAAGACCTTCTCAAATATTGTAATCCAATCAATGGTGTTTGGATTACCACCGGAGTCGCCTATGTAATGAGTTTGTAAAGCAACCTCAACAACTAAGACGTTATGTATTTCACAAAGATTGACAATATACGTTAAAACTAACAAAAAAAATATCAACAAATTCCCTTTTTTATTCACATGCACACAATGAAATGCTTCAAGTCTATTCGAATTCTGTTTACCATTACAAAATATGTTATACTTGAATAAACATTAAAAAATAATGTTATAACTGTATAAGCACTATTGTAACTTAGATTCTTAAAACAAGCACTACCTTAGTTGCACATCTCTCTACAATTCATAGCTACTTGCTTCTTCCGACATTCTTTGTTTCCAGCGGATCGTTTTTGATGATTTTCTATTAAGAAGTGCTCTATAGCATCACTCCAACGTTGTAGATCCTAACCCTCAGGTGCTTGAGCCCTTGCAGCCTCCACATCATCTTCAAAACCAGTCAAACAAGTTCTTGCAATACTTTTGAAGCCTCTATACCGTATACATATCCGATTATTCAGTGACGCCCAATAAACTGGAGCCATGGAATCATTTGGAATCGCTACAAAATTTAACCATGTCTATAAAAAAATAGAGATATTAAAAATAAATCAAAATTAAACATATTATAAATATAACTTTATAAATAATTTACCAAAAGTTACTCGAACATGCCAACCCTTTCGGCTTCAAAAACGTCTTTCCATGTATCCTTATCAAAACCGATGTCGCGCCACATATAGCGCCCAACCTCCCAAATGAAAAATTCGTATACCTTCCCAATCGACATGTGAGTATTTATGTCAAATATTATCTTTAGAGACCAGTTGTCGTTAGCTGCAAATACCTTGTACATTTTTTGTTTACTGCCATGTCTCTTCGTTTTGAAGGCACCACTACATAAAAAAATATTAGTCAAAACAAATTTTGATATACATACAATATGAAATACAATGAATTAGAATAAATCTTAATTACCATCAATATGATGATCACCAAAACCTCCATGGAACGGATGTGGTGGCTCGCCACCACCGTCACCTCCATGGCCCATCACAACAGCCATGAGATGGAGCAATACAATCCAAAAAAATGAAACCTTGAAAAACTTATAACACAATTTGAATATATATATATATATATATATATATATATATATATATATATATATATATATATATATAGCTATGTTATTTTGTGTCACAACTGTAAATTTTGAGCCATGTAATCTATGCATTCAACCTAATGTGAATCAAAAACTTCAATCAAATACAAGATACGAGTACTACAAGTAGTCATCAAACAATTGGAGACCCTAGAAGTTCTTGTTAAGTCCATTTTGGACTAGGACTTCCTTATTGGATCCAAATGGACCAATAAGCTTCCAATTGGACTATCATGGGCTTAGAACCCTAATTGGGCTCTAATTAGACCCACATTCTTTTATTTCAATATTTTGGGCTAGGTTGAACCTAGAATGAAATAAATCACAAGCTTTGATCCATGATTTAACCTAACCTAGCCTATTAAAGCATAAAAATCACAATTTTATTTTATAAGGCTAATAAGCACCCAAAACTAACTCTAATTTTGGGCTTAAGGGGAAAAAGCCCAAATTTTTCTTTTCCCTTTCAAATTCTCGGCCCAAGGCCCAAGCCCAAGGATAAATGGAAGAGTTGACTATTTGCTTGCCACCTCACCTTTACATGTTGGACTTCCATGCATATAACTCATGTTTCCAAGCAAACATCATGTCAAAGATCACTTCTTTTCTCTCTTCTCTTCTTGTTCGGCCGAGAGCAACACCACACACACCAAAAATATCTTCATTTCTCTCTAGATTCACTCAAGAACTCTCCTTCCTCCCCTCTCCAAAAATCTCGAAAATTAGGGACTTTCCAAGAGGATTTTGCAAGTAAATCATCATCTAAGGTAAGATTATGCATAGATCTATGGTTTAAATTCTTTTGTTATCAAAATCCTTTCCTAATCTATGCTAAAATCGTGATCTTGCACCCTAGAACCATCTCAAAACTCGAGATCTTCATCAAAGGGAGCCAAGACCAAAAACACTTCATTTTTCCTTCCATTTTCCTTGCAAAAACCGAACCAACACCCCAAGGTGAGCTTCATACCCCTATTTTCTGTTTTTATGAGTTTTGTGGGGGGGAATACAAGTGAAAGTGTAGATCTATATGTGTTTGTATGCCTTGTATGATTTCCATGCTTATATGTATGCTTTTATGTGTTTTCATGTTGGATCTAGCCTCAAAACTCATCAAAACCGAGATATAACTTGTGCTACATGATTTTTACTTCAAATATATTTCTAAACACAAAGTGCTTCAAGAAAAATGGCTAAGTAGTTTAGTAATAATTTCTTTGGGTTAAAAACACAAATTTTGGGC